CCTGGAAAATTTCTCTCCTTTTAAAGCCTGTCAGACCACAACCTCCTGTCTACACCAACTTCAAGACTATCTTATGCCTCCTCCCCACTTTCTAAACCCACATCATCCCTCCAGTGAATACTGACTAAGCATTGAGGTTGGTTGGCTCACCAAGCTGGTTTGTTGTTCCGCAGACGTTTCGTTACCGTGCTTGGTAACATCCTCAGTGCAGCCTCTGATGAAGCGTCGGTGTGTTTTCCCGCCTGGTTTTTAAACTCTGGGGTCCGTTGCAATGGATTGCCTCACTTCCGGGTTTCCTCCGTAGTGGAATGTATATGGGGTCCAGTTCAATGTGTTTATTAATAGCATGCTTCGTGGAGTGCCATACTTCCAGGAATTCTCGTGCTTGTCTCTGCCTAGCCTGTCCCAGGATCTTGGTGTTGTCCCAGTCGAAGTGGTGGTTCGCCTTGTCCATGTGGATTGAGATGAGTGAGTATTGGTCGTGTCTTTTTGTAGCCAGTTGGTGTTCATGTACTCTTGTTGTTAGTTTCCTTCCCGTTTCTGATGTAGTGTTTCTCGCAGTCTCTGCAGGGGGTCTCAGAGGACATTGGTCCGGTCCACGGCAGGGAGTGGGTCTTTAGTTCGGGTGAGCACTTGTCGTAGGGTTGATTGTGGGCTTGTGCCACTCTGATGCCCAGCAGACATAGAAGTCTTGTGGCGAGTTCTGACATGTTCCTGATGTAGGGTGGTGTGATGTGTGTCAGGGCGTGTAGAATCTTTGATGCTGTTCCTGTAGGCATCTCCTGACCCAGTTCTTTGGATATCCATTACCCTTGAACACTTGGAAAAGGTATTCCTCCACCTCCTGGCGTAGTTCCATGTTGCCACCCTTTTAAAAGGGTGTTCACACGCAGCTTCATTTGTGCACGCTGGGATGGTTACTATTGAAGTTCAATACCTGGTCTGTGTGTGGCTTTTCAGCATACTTTTGTTTACAGCTCCCCCTTTGTCTTGCGCTCTACCATGACATCCAGGAATGGGAGTTGTTTGTTCTTCTCCTCTCTGGTGAATTTTATTCTGGTGAGGGTGTTGTTTATGAGTCTCTAATTTGGTCCGTTTAATGACGACAAAGGTGTCGTCTATGTAGCGTATCCATAGTTTAGGTTGGATTTGTGGAAGGGCAGTCCTTTCCAGTCTTTGCATCACTGGAATAAAATTCACCAGAGAGAGGAGGAGGAGAAGAACAAACAACTCCCATTCCTGGACGTCATGGTAGAGCGCAAGCCAAATGGGAAAACTGCAAATGAAAGTACGCAAAAAGCCAGACAGACCAGGTATTGAACTTCAATAGTAACCATCCCAGCACACACAAACGAAGCTGCGTGCGAACACTATTTAAAAGGGCAACAACACACTGCAGCAACATGGAACTACGCCAAGAGGAGGAGGAATACCTCTTCCAAGTGTTCAAGGGTAATGGATATCCAAAGAACTGGGTCAGGAGATGCCTACAGGAACAGCCAAGATTCTACGTGCCCTGACACACTCATCACACTACCCTACATCAGGAACATGTCAGAACTCACCACAGGACTTCTCTGACTGCTGGGCATCAGAGTGGCACACAAGCCCACAATCAAACCTATGACAAGTGCTCACCCGAACTAAAGACCCACTCCCCACCACAGACAGGACCAATGTCATCTACAAGATCCCCTGCAGAGACTGCGAGAAACACTACATCAGA